CGGTTTTCACAGAGAGAGAGAGAGAGAGTTGCCCCTTCAATCCATTTGCTTGCACTTTCCCTCTTTTGCTTCTTTCACTATTGGCACCCGCAAATGGCGGGGGTGCACCTGCGCGCGGTGTAGGGGGTCTCCCCCCTGCACCACAACCCTGTGGAAAGAAAGACAGACAGACAGACAGACAGACAGACAGACAGACAGACAGACAGGACGACCTCAATAAGCAGAGGACTGAGGAAATAACGACAGAAGTAAGCAAGGAACGAGTGAAGAGACGGATGGATGTAAAATCAAGAAGCACCGAAGGAAGCAAGGAAGGTCGGAAGGATATCATGAACGACAGACAGACGGAACGAAGGCAAGAAAGAACCGACGAAGGAAAGAACGAACAAGTGGCCGAGTTCAAGATGCCCCAAGAGCGGGGGCTTTCTTTTCATGTCATGTTGGCTCAGGAAGTGCATGGAGTGCTGCGCGCTGGCTCGCTGGCGGCACAAGACCTTTGCTTCGGGCTTCGGGTGTGGTGCGGAGACCGATGCCAGCCCGATGCTTTTACGAAGGGCAAACGAAGCATGACAAGCCGACGGCGCACGAGTTAGGGAACAAAGGGTATGAGCCATGATATTAACAGAGCCAGCCCTGGGCAGGTGGTTGTGCTTGATTCTTGGCTGCCGTGGAGCTTGTTGATTAGGGATTGTTTCAGCCATCAACGAGCGCTCAGGGCTTGCTACAGTGAATGCCTCATGAGTTCAAACAGCAATTTGTTGGAAGTGCGCAGCGATTTTCAACAGCCTGAAGTCAAGGCCCCAGGTTTGGACGTTTGAGCACAGCATGACAAGAGTTAAAAACCATTGGGATATGTTAAATCTCAGGATGTCGCAATCACGAACACCACGGGAACCGCGTTTAGCATCATGGATTCGAAGCTGCACTTGCACTACGAGGAGCTGGGAATGGGATGGTGGAGCGGGGGCGGGGGAGCGCGCAGACACTGAGCTTGGCTCGATATTTTGCAGGCATGTTTCTGAGGTTCTTGCATGTGAAGTGGGCTGACAGTCCATGCCTGTTTTGAAGCGGGAACAGCCGTGCGAGGAGCAACTTGGCTTCTCGCCGAAGGTGGGCGGGGTCTTGTACCGACTTGCTACACCGCAGTGTCGATTCGTGCGGCTGGTGAGTTGCAGGGGTCTTCTTTGGTTCGATGTTGGGAAGTCTACTTAGTATGGGTTAGCAGACTTGATTTGACCTGTGCCAGGTGTTGTGTCTTGGTTTATCACATGGGCTGCTGGTTTTCCTGGCCATCGGCTTCCTGTGCTGGGACAGCATTTCGTCGTTGTTTCACCCATCTCCGACGGTGTCGATGTTCGCTGCAGTACGCCCCCAGATGTCAGCAGCATGTATGAGTCGAGCTTGAAGACAGACAGCACTCGGCATGTTCCAAAAAGGGTTCGGCAGTATGTACACTGTCGTGTGCAATCGAACCTGCCTACCAAACCACCGAGGATTCGTGCGGAGATTCTTGCGTGTCGGTTGCAGAGGAGCCACCGCTTTGTCCGGGCCCGGAACTTGGGCTGCGGTGGATCCGTGACAGAGACAGCAGCTTGAAATGTTTCAAGTTCGCTTTCCACGACTCGAGGTGAACCATCGACTGGCCATGGTGTGTGTGCTCTTCAGCTTGGTGCTGAGTTGAAACACAGCCCTACAGTATCAGTGTGTCTTCGCGGGTTTTAGCGCACAAAGGCGTGAAGATATTTTGCCTGATGGGATTCGCTTCCATTGCCGGAGACTGGGCTGGCGTGTGCGTCTCGATCTACCTGATTGGCTTGATCGTGCCTGAGCTTTTTCAGCTTTCGATGTTTCTTTGGCCATGTCCTGTTCGACACCTCGTGGCATGTCACGATTGCAGAGCGGCGGCCGTGGCCGTTGCCCGCCTGGTTGAGGTGTTGACTTTGGCGGGCCGTCACCCTCTGCGCAAGTTTTTGGATCCTGTGGCCCGGCAAGGGTTGGCCATCCCCCAAGAGCAAGCGTCGGGCCTGTATCCTCATGCTAAGCACTGTAATGTAGGCCCTCAGAGTTTCGAACCCGATTTCTCAGCAATCTCAGGCAATCTCCATCTATTGTTGCACGGTCATGCGCGGTCCGTGCAACTCAGGTCTTCGTCTGAGGTCGGAGGGCTCTTTCGGCATCGTGTACTTAACCGTGCCCAATTCCTCCGTCTCTCATGCGATCTGACACTTCTTCGCCGGCTACTGTAGCGTGTGTCAGTTTGAGTGTTCCGCCTTGCTGATGCATCATTGTAAAGGGGAGGGAAGGAGCAAGTGCCGTCAGAGCGATCAATCCGAAAAAGTGCAACCGCGCAACCTGCAAAGAACGTGCTGCCCTCCTTCCCTTGTGGCATCAGCAAGTGCTACACCCCTAGACCGCAGACACTGTCTTCCAAGGTCTCTGGGTTGTCATGCATGTCACTGACCTTTCGAAGTCCAAAGCCTGCTTTGAGCGTCATGACCACCCTGACACCTGCACATTTTGTAACTTGTGCCTGGGCACGAGGAGCCTTGTCTGGCTCATTGACATATCACATATCTGTCGGTCAGCTTGTCGGGTTGCCTGACCTGCACAGGATGAGGCCGTCAGCCAGAAGTTTAGTAGACGTGGGCACGATGAGTGCTGCACACACTAGGAAGTGCAACTCTGCTGAAGGTAGTTCGGAAGGTAGTTTCCTGAGGAATCGACACAAGCTTGGTTCCTGCTTGGATACGCTAGGCAATTGCTGGCAAGTGTCCTACCAAAGTGAGGACAGTTCGCCAAGTTGCGTGCAGTTCCAGCACAAGCTAGACAGGTCGTACATCATGCCCTGCAGTCTAGCTGGCATATGCTGGTCTCTAGGAGGTGACATCGTGCCTCCGCGGCCTCCACGGTTTTGAAAACCATAAACCCTAAAAAGCATTGGGCTTTCTCACTGGCCTTGTGCCTCCGGCACGCGGGTTTAGTGCGGTGTCCACGAAGCGACTCTTCCTGACAGCGACCAAGGTCTGGATGCGGGACGGCCAATATGGCAAGCACCGCAGAGGCCGCTTGGTGAAGAAGGCGCCTCATGGAGATTTGGGGATGAAGCGCTCCGGGGTTGATTCTAGTATTGGCAGTAATGTGTGCTGCTGTGCAGCTGGAGCGATGGATGCTGTGAACGCCAGAGTTGATTTAGACATCAGACAAACGAGCCGACAACGAAGCGGGAAGCATCTCCTGGCTTGGGCAGGCACCGAAGATCGGTGCCGATGGCCTCCGAGCCAGCCGGCCTGGGGAGCACACGACAAAGGAGGCGCGGGGGCGAATCTCCTTGCCCTTTCGATGACCCTTTGGGCGTTTTTTTGCCAGGTTGCGGCCAGGACTGGCTGCCCCTTGGCACTGCATCGATCCCTCCGCAATCCCAGATGGGTGCACTACACTTCCGAGCAGCCTGACGCTTAGGGGCCCAGCACCTTGTGCCGGGTGAAACCGTGGAGCTCTCCCAGTTCCAGTGGAGGCGGCCGCAGCGGCTGAGGCGCATGGGGCTCTAGAGTTGATCGGAAGCAGCATGGCCTCTAGAAGAATGCATAATGGGGGAATCAGCAAGGCAAAGACAAAAGCCTCAGCCGCTGCATCCCTTTACGTCGGTTGATGAGCTCCTGGTGCTCTCAGGCGCTTACAGCTGAGCGACGAGGCCCAGTTGGCAATTCGACAGCTCCTGGCCGGGGGCCAAGGGAAGGTGCTGGTACATGGCGGATGGCCCGACCATCCTCCTTGTTTCCGAGGTGGAGAGGCGCCTAGAAACGGCGCAGGAGGCAAGCCATGAAAACTGATGTTTGCGTTCCCCTGTTGCAGCGTTCAGCGCATGCAGGGGGAGCACTGCGAGTGGTTTACCTCGCATGTGTCAGCAGCTCAGCACCTCTGAAAACCTGTGTCAAGGAAAGGTACCGCAAGGGCCGAAGGTCCTGTAGCGCCTGTAACGTAGATGGGTGCTGCCTCCAGGCCCACAGCACCGGTGTCGGGGACCTGGTTTCATGCCAGGAGCCTAGTTGACCTAGCTGGAGTACCATGAAGTCCCCGGGAAGAGAATTGCACTGCGTTTCTGCACGTTTGGACTTCATTCGAACTGCAGTTCTTGCACGGTCGACTAGATTTTCGTGCCGTGCGACAAGTGGGGAGCTAAGGTCCTCGCATATCCGCTTCTCGGAGATGTCACGAAGGCGATTGCGTCGAGGGATCTGCCCTGCCTGTAACACCGCAGCAACGTATGCAGGTGCTTCTACGACCTGTGATGAAATGCTGGGCCGGCGACCCGTTGTGATCCAGGGCAAGGTTGTTGTCCTGAGCCCTAAACAGAATCAGGCGGCTGACGGAAAAAAACTTAAAGGAAGTCTAGTGTAAATCGATCCGTGTTTGACCGAGACCGCTGCGCAGCGGGAAAGCGTTGCACGAGCGTCACGGTGGCGGCGACCTCATTGGACGGAGCATGAGGACATAAACTTCTGATAGTTCTTCCTCATATTTTTCGTCTTCTCCTTATGTGTATATATATATATATGCATGCATGCATGCATGCATGCATGCCTGGCTGTCTGTCTGTCTGTCTGTCTGTCTGTCTGTCTGTCTGTCTGTATGTATGTATGTATGTATGTATGTATGTATGTATGTATGTATGTGTGTATGTATGTGTGCATACACATAGATATGGTTACAACGCACTTTGAATCATCTACACGTGCACACGCATACATGAATACGCGATATATATATATATATGTATATGTATATGTATATGTATATGTATATGTATATGTATATGTATATGTATATGCATGTTTGAATGTATGCACACATAGAAATATGCGCACACACATATGTATATGTATACGTATGTACAAGTATACGTGTAAGTATATGTATACATGTATACACACGTACATATATATATATATGTGTATATATATATATATACATGTATGTATATACAGCTATGTATGCATACATACTCTTGCATATGGTGTAGTTCTTATGTTTTATGTGAAGTCGTGTTATGCTATGCTGCTATATACTGTATCACACCATTCTATACGGTATGGTATGGTGTGTATGTTTGTGTGTTGTATTGCCGTGCATTGTATTGTACTGCATTGTCTTGTGTTGTGTTGTGTTGCAGTATATGGGTATGTATATGCAGAAATATATGTACATATGTGTATACACACTTACACATGTACCCGCACTGGCATGCAGGTGTAGATGTGCTGATGCCCAGGCTTGGCGAGACCTTGATCTCCCAGTGCGCAAAAGCTGGTCGGAGACCTGAGGAACCTTGCAGGACCCGATCGCCCATCAGACAGCAAAGCGAGTTCCCTTGCCAAGGGTTTTCTTTGTGGTGTTTGAGTCCGGCTATGTACAATTAGATACTTAGAGTTCGTGCCAAAATTCATGTGAATGGAATGTGCTGGGTCGCCAAGGTCAGTGGGAGCTGGTTGAGGCACAGACTGACATCTCCTCAACGCTCTGCGTCCGAGACGTCTTCCACCGGTTTGCGGTTTCAGAGGGCCTTTGCGCAGGTGCTCGTCGAAAATGGCCAGTGCCTGAGGCGGTTGCACAGCGTCCACGCTCCAGGAGCATCGATGTCGTGTAAGGGCTAGAACCCATCTGCCAAGGCGTGCCCCTGCCAGATCTCAGCCGCGAGTTTAGCCAGGTTTGTGGCCCATCGGCTTGGGGCTCAAGGTGATGCATGCGCCCCGATGGCCACAGGCGCACATCCCTGCCCAGGTGCCCTGTCAAAGGCAATGGCACAAAGACTGGCGGCAGGCACTAGGCCAGTCGGCGAAGTGCTGACCATTAGCATGAGGAGAGACGGAGCTGTCTGAGTCGCATTTGATCAGGCGCGCAGGGCCCAACACCAATACTCGAGCTAGCAGCAGCCAGCAAGGACTGCCTGGGAGTTAAAACAAATCAGGTGGGCCACAGAAACCGGCAAAACGACGTTTACTTCTCGGGCATGAGTCGGCATTCGCATGAGTACAGTGAGTTTCCAACTTTATGGGCAGCTAGCCGAGATCAATGCTTTTGGTGTATGCTGCGATTGTGCACGGCCAGGCAAATCAAGTTGCCAGTGCTGATTCACATAGGTGTTCATCATTGTAGTCAGTCCATAGAGATAGTGGTTTTGTGAGCAGTGTGGCAGATAGAGACCTGCTCATCACCAGCGGTCTTGGGTAGATGTGTTGCAGCTCTGACCTGCACCTGCAGGATGGACCCAGAGTTCTGGAGGGTCTGTCGAAGACTCGGACTCACGATAAGCACAACAATTGTAAATGAACTCCCAAAATGCTTGAAGGATGTTGGATGTCTACTGCATGTGGTGCTTGTCATGGACATCTGTGACAAGTTTTCATCCTGTCTTGAGGTTGCAGCGAGTATTCACCTTAGACGTTTTGCTGCACGCGGCAAGATGGTCACCTTGTCCGTTGCTGGCATTGGCCCAGGCATCAGGCCAGCATACTCACAAAGGCTTGGATGCAAGACAATTCACGCATTTCATCGGCGTCTATGCCCCCTGTTTCAGGTTCGTATTTCCTAAACATCTCGTAGTAAGCATGAAGGCTTCGCGGGCCCTCTCCGCCTGCCGGACTTGCTGGGAGGCCGAGCTTTCGTTTTAGATTCCCAGTCCCCATCCTTTGCTTCTCTGCCGCCTTTTTCCGGGGTCCCTCTGTGCCTCAAGCTTGAAGGCCTTGGAGGGCGCCCTCAGCCGCTGCTCCTCCGCGCTGCCGAGGTATCGCTTCGATAGAGTTCATGTCGCACGTCCCCTGCAGCAACATTGGAAGATACCGGAAGTCTATGTCATTGATGTGGTAGTTTGGGATTGGCATTGGGCCTGCTGATCAGGCGAAGCGCCGCGGCCTTTGGTAAAGACTTGGTATGGAATGCAATGCACAGTGCCAGGTGACCTGTGCATGTTCTGCGAAATGCTGGTGATTGGGTCCTTTTCTCCAGCCAATAGTTCTGCGTCACAAAGGCTGGAACGTGGTGCACGTTCTCCTGACGAGCTCAGGCACAGTTCTTTGATGGTCTGTGACAGCATAACAAGAGCATGGTTGCTTTACAGGGGAGGGTACGGCAAGTCGTGCTGTATGAACCGCTTCCTGCACAGTGCCCGTGGCTGCCGCGACGCTGCTGTCTTCGCCGCATGCGGCGACTTGTCCGACGGCCCTGGCACGAGAGCCCAGACCATGTTTTGATTGGAACGAAAGCCCGGCGCAATGTACAGGCTAAGCTTCAAAGCCTAAAGCTCGCAACTCCGACGAACATGGGAACGTGTGCTGAACTAGAGGACGAAAGCTCCTGAAGCTGCGGAAATCATTCGGCATGTTTGAAAGATGTCTTCCGTGCGAGCATAGGAAGTCAATTGCTGCAAGATGAGGTTCACCTTGCCGAAGAGAGGGCTCTGGAGGTGCGCTGGTCAGGTCAGATACTCTCCCGCATCGAACGCATGTCCGCTCCTGGCTAAGGAGACTTCCCCTCTATCTACTGCGACTGGCAGTCCAGAGGTCTGCTTGGTGAGATCTCGAGAGACCGGTGTTCGTGTTGCCGTCGGAGAGCTGCTTGGCAGGAAGATCAGCTTGCCCTCTTCTTCCGGCGTCGGCATGCGAGTGTAGTGCGGGGCTGAGCAAGGCACACAAACACGTATCCTGTGATATCCTGTGCAGCCAGACAAGAGGGGGCGCATCAGTTGATGTCTTCATAATTAGTAATTAGCTGGGATTCACTCGACGGCAAGGTTGTTTCAATCAGCACCCGACCTGGTCATAACCACCACCTACCCTCGGGACATTATGCCTTTTGCTGAATTGTGCCTGAGGGCCCTCAGGGTTAAGGGATGTTCAGGAGTACTGTGCCAGGTTCTTCTGGACGAGGAGGTGCCGGGATACAAGTCGCTGCCAGCTGAAGGCCGGTGGATGAACGGCGTTCTCGTGACTCCTTGTCGGAATTACTACTACGCCCTTTTCCAAGCTCTCATTGATGTCATTCATATCTGCTTCAGATCATATTGCGGAAGCCTCTCTGCATGGTCTCGTGATGCTGAATGATCACCTCGTTTGGGCCGGTGTCGAAGCTGCGAGATGGTGCGATGCCCTAAAGCATTGAATGCAATGCCTCAGGCTCAGGTGGCATTTACTTGGAGAAGGCCGTGGCAGTCGTTGGACAGAATAAAGCCGATCGGGCCTTGCCCGGCTCTGCCGCTCCTCCTCTGGACACGTTGGTTTTCAGTGCCAGGAAGATAGACGAATCCGTGTTCGTCACTCGGGACTAAGCATCTGTGGCATTTTCGCCTTGCTTCCACAGAGTGTCCGATTGTGCAGTGCCACCAAAACCCGATGCTGAGGTATGGCATGAACTGCTGCACATTGGGATGTCAGGAGGCCAGCCAGACGGCTATAGACTTGTAGTTGTGGCCCTGGTTTGGATTGTCTATTTACGGTGTGTGCAGTCTTGGTCGTCCGCTGCAACGCTACTGACACAGCAATCTCTGTCTTTCTGTGATCCCTTACGGCCGGCAGTGGTGAGCAAAAGTAGCTTCAGAAAGGAAGAAGATCTGCTTAGCCTTTCTTTTCTTCAGTTCCGCTTTGGTGCGGGCCAATCTCGCCTGCAGGGCAGAGCCAGTCCTCTGAAGTGGCCTTCGTGAAGCTGCAAGACGTTGAGCAGGAGTCCTGTCATGTGCTACACAAGATAAGAGGGTATCATGCCATGTGCGGCAAGAAAGAGCAGATTCCGACAAGGCCGTGATTTTGTTGACTTGGGGCTGAGGTGGGACGAGCTCCTTTCAATCGAGAAGGCAGCTCTGTTTGGGGCCTGGTCTCGTGCGTTTAACTTTGTCTGTGCACGTAAGCCCCTTGACTCCACTCTGAAGCACTGAAGCGCGAGGGACATGACGCCCTGATATGCCCCCGCCTGAAACTTCCCGTAGCATAGCCGCACTCTCACATCCGTCCCAGGTCGCTCAGCCTCGCCAGTCGCGTCCTCAGCGACGGAAAGCAGATCTGTGTCTTCGTGTCCGCTGGGCTTTGGGATTCCCTCAGTGCAAGGGATGACGTTGCAGAGGGCTCCCCCCCCCCCCCCCCCCCACATCCTCAAGCAAAGTCTCGGACCTTTACCGGCCGCTCTGGCATAGCTTCTCCGTGAAGGCCGGACGGCAGCCAAGACGCCAGATGCCAAGGCTCGTGAAGCCTGAAGTGGACGGGTTTGTTGGATCTCTTTGCAGTGATTGTCCTTCTGGGCAAGCATCGCATGCACCACTTTGCAACGATGTCACTTGAGACCGGATTTTTGGGAGTAGCATCTGTGACACGCTGGTGACGGCCTCGGCAGGCTGTAGCTTTGCGCTGCTCCGCTTTTTCTGCGAGACTCAAAGTGTAAGCCCCAGCAATCGCAGGTGGGCGCCTGCTGGCTGGCAGTGTTGTGCCCCGCGAGCTACCTTCAGGCACACTGTGACAGTCTCTACTGGGCACCGTCTGGACAGCAACCCTGGCAATTAACCCGGGATAGAGGTTCATTGCGCTTGGTCGGGCGCGATTGCCTTTCCTCTTTGGAGTGGCAACTGACAGGCTTCGAAAGAGGGTCTTCTGCTGGCCTGCTGCTCAGACTCTGCATGCCGTACGTTTCATCCGCGCAGGTTTGTACTTGATGACGTGCAAGTTGCTGTACAGGTGCCACCTCAACGGATCCCCACCCCCTGCTGCGTGCAGAGCGTCAAGCTGTGCCGGGAGCCCCTGTTGTACAATTTTGTGTCAGCATGCTGCATGGCGCCTTATCCTATAGCTAGCTACTGGTTGCTGGATGGTGTGCATACGTCTGCGCATCGTAGAACGATCAAGGGAAGGGAGTGCTTTCCGAAGCAGTCGTACTGAGGGGCAGGCAGCAGGACATTCGAGCATGGCGGATAAGCTGACTTCAAAAGTTGTGTTATCGCGCGATTGAACGAGGTGTTAGCACCCAGTCTGCATGCTGCAAAGAGCCAATGAAGGCGGCACCGCGGGAGCGCGGGCAGAGAATAGCAAGTTAGATGTTTCATTGACAGGATGTGCCAGTCTACCTGGATGGGCAGTGCATCGGCAGGAGTGACGAAGGGGGACTGGTCGTCTACCTGCCGCGATTGCGCTTGGCTGGGTGATTAGCTGATTAGCATGTCTCGAGAACTGCCGATCTTGTTCCAGAGTCCGCTCGTCTCGACACTTGATTCTTCTCTGGGAATGCCAGGAAGTCTTCGCCAAGCCCGGTCGTCGCACGTTGTCGCCCGAGCCGTGAATGCCGTGAAGCGAAGGAAGCCGACGGGGTTCTGTCGAGGCTCCAGTCGCCGAGTGCCGGGGCTGAAGCAATGGAGGTCACGCTTACAAGTGAAGGCGGGGTTGAGTGGAGCAAACTTGAGCACACTTGTTTGCCAAGGCGGCCGTTTATTCCGCTTCAGTGCGTTGCTTGCGTGGAAACGACACACAGTGGCTGCCAGGTAAAGAATGCAGACACGTGCTGCTTTGCGCAGGGAGTGTCTACTTGTTTCTGCAGGCCAGTCCATGGAGTTATAGAGCTACGCAGTCAGAGGATTCTGGGGGCACACTGTTCAGGCTGGAGACTCAAGTTCAGAATGGAAGTTGAAGCCCGGAGCTTGCAGATTCAAGAGCTCGGGGGCGGAGTTTCCTCAGACCATGCCGTTCCCATGCCAAGGATGACCACCGATCTGAAGCAGATCCCGGAGGCTCGATTGTAGAATGGCTGTGTGCCGTTGTGTTGGATGTTTTTCTCGATTCGTTTTTCAGCTGCCACGGAGTCAGGATGCCTCGGACTTTCGGGGCAAGGTCTGCTTCGACGATGATCATCCCTTCCAGGCATTCCTTCCCCCCTCTAGATGCAAACCGGCTTAAGCTGAGTCTGATTGCAGGTCATCCGATCCTGCTTCCATCCGCTCATCGTGCCTGGCGGAGAGCCATGTCCTGGACTTGTGAAGAAGTCTGCGTGTGGGCACAAGCAGTTCCCACTTTCGGAGCATCCCCGCCCTGATCCAGGTCCCGCACTGTTTCACTCCTTGCGTCCAGAGGCGCTCAGCGGCGCGTGGGGGTCCAAGACTGACCGAAAAGACGGGGGGCTGCTTTGACCGCGCAGTGCGCAGGAGGTTCGAGTTCAGTGAGGAGGGGCAAAAGCGGCTCGCGGGTGACAAGTGCAAGGCCTGTTTGGCTTTGAAGGTTCTTTTTTGATGGGCTGAGGCGAGGGACTCTCTCTCTCTCTCTCTCTCTCTCTCTCGCTCTCTCTATCTATCTATCTATCTATCTATCTATCTATCTATCTATCTATCTATCCATCCATCCATCCATCCATCTATCTATCTATCTATCTATCTATCTCTCTATCTATCTCTCTATCTATCTGTTTATCGATCTA